TAGGGAAGGACTTAGCGGCTCGCAGCTCGCTCGATAATATGACCTTGGCAGCGGAGTCGGTGAAATTTGGGGTTATATTGAATGTCATATTGTCGTAGAAGGGCTATAAGTGTTAGCAGCGTTTGGAGGAAATAGTGAGTGGTACTGACCAAGAGAAAGGGACTTCATCATCGTGTCATTATTGCTTGCATTGTCCATCACAAAATATCCTAGTTTGGAAGCAAAACCCCAGTCATCAACCACTTCCATCATTGCTGCAGCGAGGTGAGAACCATCATGCTCACCGTCGATGTCTTTTAAGGCTAAAGTATGGTGTTCCAGCGTGCAGTCTTCAGTGACATAGTGAGCGACTACGCCTAGGATTGCCAAAGAGTTGGGAGACGTCCAAAGGTCGCAGCTGATATGAATTCTTGATCTTGCCGACTGTATGCGCTGCTTCACCTTCTCCTTCTGATCCTCATATTGCCGCATAATCCATTTCTTGACAGTTTGGTGTGACCCTGGGAGCCAAGTATCAACATCAACATTAACGTAGGCTAACATTGCTCGGAATTCTGGGCACTCCACGAGCCGAATTGGAAGAGAACAGGCGGTAATAAACCTTATGTACAACACTTCGAGCTGGTCCGGGTCGATCGAGCTTCCGTGTTGATCATTGAGCCGACGGCGTTTTCGGACATTTTCCTCAGCGGTAAGACGAGCTTGTTCGAGAAGAGTTTGTATCGTCCTGGCTTTAGCTGTTCGTGGAGCGCTTTTTGGGAGACCGTGGCCGTCAGGAGGAGGGTCCGTTAGGTGCTTAGCCGGAGCCGCAGTTCCACCAGAACAAGAATATGTTTTCTCACAATACTTGCAGCGCCATTCCTCCTTTCCAGTCCGTTGATTGTAGTATCTGCTTTCAATCTCCTCGTCCGGCATATGAGCGAAGACCCATGATGTTCTTGGCTTCGTGCAAGAGGTTGCAGAGGCCGTGCGAGGTCGCGACGATTGGCATTGAGAGGTTTGTCTCTCGCTGGCGTCATGTAATTGTTGGCTAGAAT